GACGTTTCTGTATGCATGTGTTGATTTTGTCATGTCAATCTCGCATGACCAGATTTTCAAATTTAAAAACTGGAACACCACAATTTGGCTGCAAATCCAAATACTTTATCCAATAAATTCTCAACAGGAACTCTTAATAACCAATTTAATCGCTGGTCAATCAGGTGACCGGTGGCTGTGTTATTAATTTAGCTCATGGGAAATGCTATCCTGGTTGATGGTTCAACAGCAATAAACAAGTCAATGCACTCACCATTATCCAACATTTTTTGCTCTGTCCCAGCAAGTATTGAAGCTGGCTCTGCTGTTTATCCCTTATTGTAACGTTGGAAATATTCCACCAGAAAAGCTCAGCCTGCCTTCGGTCTGACTGGCAACAGTAGCATTAGGGTAGTACGACTACATTTGATTCTTAGACACGGAAGCAGGAAGTAGTTCGAGTTCCGGTATAATGAAAACATGCCTGCTCGTCAGTGCTTTGAGTGGGCTGGTATGCAGTGGTACAGATTACCAGCACTTCTTAATTTTAGCTTCTATTGTACCAGGATTTTTTATGGCATTGCGGGACTTCACATGAGCCCACGGTGCCCTCTTTTGTTCTTTTTCTCTCTTGAACTTAGTGATGCGAATACAACTCCTTCAGTAATTCGATAATAGTAATAGTACCTCAAATTAAGAAGAAAATTATAGTGGGGGCAGAAAAAAAAAAATCCTAACAGTTTATTTGGCGTGTGCTCCATCATTTAGACATGGTAAGGGAGCTGCAAACATAACATAACACACCGCCAAGCAAAGGCTTAAAAATAAAAGCTTACAATAGAGTGACACCAGTTCAATAGCCTTAGTGGGCTTTTATATTGAAGTTGGTCTTGACTTGTCTTTTCGACATTTTGGCTTGCCTTATCACAGTTTGTATTGCTATGAAATAGTTGTAACAAACATCAATACAAGGCCAAGCCGAAACCATATTCAATTGCAAACCTAGACTGCTAAGAAACTGTTCGTTAATTACATCATCATTGGATGGTACAACACAAATCTTTTTTTTTTCAGGTACCCAAATTACTGAAGAAGTATCAAAAAATGCAACAGAGAAAGAGAACGAAAGAGGGTACTCCGGGGTCCTATAAAGTCCTGGTAAGCCGTATAAAAGTCCCTGTGTGCTAGAGGCTAAAATTGATAAATTCTGGTAATCCGTACCATTGCATATCAGCCCACATAAAGCAGTGCACATGGACCAAACAGTTGGCTAGTTGACTGGAATAAAAAAAAAAAAATTTTTTTTTGAAATACCTGAGACCTAAAAGAAGGACAAAACAATGGGGCTGGTGAAACCCGAAAAAAAAAAAAAACAGGACTGTCCCGGCTTAATTGGGATTTCTAATCATCCTATCGCAATCTGATCCATATGGCATAATCAAATGTAGCATTATCTACTCACATATTCAGATGAATCTATTCCTGAAGTTTGGTTATTAATAACAATAATAATAGTAATAATAATAATAATAATAATTGTTTTTTGTTGTACAGTATATTAATTGCAGGAGTTCCAAATGTAGATTTTTGCTCAAGGGAACAAAATGCAGGTGATTAATTTTTCCTGTACATCTCTGAATCAGTCAGTCCTCATGATTTACACACACACACACACACACACACACACACACACACACACACACTCCCACCCACACACACACGCATAGACACTGAAGCATTAGTAGAGCGCTAGCATCTGTGGCTGTACAGCCAGTCCTAAGCTGCAGGGTTATGTAATGTCCTCTGCCATTTCAAATGATCTCGAACCACAAGCGACTGTTGACTGTTGTGGATTTGACTGCTGTGTCTGGCCTCGCACTGTGTGCTGTGTAGTCAGCAGTTGGACGTGGCTAAAGACTGAACGGAGCTGGCGATGGGTATTAGTGAGTAACAGGAGGGAATCCTCCATTGAAGACCCTGCTAACGGAGTGCCAACTCGACATTTGTGGCCTTTCTGCTAACCTCCGGAATGGTCTCTTGCTTCACGACATCTCAGCTATATTGTAGGACGCAAAAAATTTGAATTTGACTTTTTAATTTGGTTTCTCGTAGGACAAACTTGTCTCGGAGGACAGGTCCTCCGTGCTACTACATGCATTGGGCAATACATACCACATACAATACGAAGCATACATTGGACAAGAGATTACAGGCAGATGCACACCCCACACTGCCCTCATGTCCTCCTGCCTGTCTGTCTACCTCCCTCTAATTGTCTGTTAATTAAGCTGATAGCCTGCGTTATGAATGAGTTTTTATATCGGTTTAATTTGCGGAGAAGAGTCCTATACCACCTTCCGGAGTTTAGGAGCTCAAATTGGGAGTGTAGCACATGGGAAGGATTGTCTAAAATGTTGTTGGCCTGTTGAATAATGGACTGGACATATATGTCCTGGGGAGCAGGGGGTGGGGGCTGCCCGATTACCTTCCCTGCTGTCTTAACGAAGCTGGTTATCTGAGCTTTTTAACAGTTAGGTTCCCAAACCAACTGGTTATTCCAAAGCGCAGGACTGATGGACAGGGTATCTGTTGTTATCACAAAATCAGCCCATTGGAGAAAAAAAAGCGATATTTAAAATACCCTAAAATATATATGTATGTATAATATATATACAATTGATAGAATTTGTCACTTTTGTTTTGTTTTTTTTTGCACACTATGCATATTGAAGGCAACAGGAGATGAAAGAGACAAGCAAAGTGTGTGTAATGAGGTTCCCCCGCTTGCATCAAGCTTTCTCAGCTACTGAAGATCAGAAGAGGATTCATTAGTTATTGCTAGAAATACAGGATTTTAACTATATATATATATATATATATATTTTTTTTTTTTTTACAAAATGTTTGGGCACTTGAATCAGAGTAGCTATTCACAAGCAACAGAGATTTTATCAGTGGAAGTTATACTTAGTACTGGGCTCCAGGTAGTCATTTGTGATATACATGATGTATTTTTAAAAAATGATTATCTTTGTATCATTTAGTCAAAACTCAATGCATAATAGGAATGTAGTAACTGCTATTTTTACATATTCTGGAGTGGCAGAATTAGCGAACGAGCACTTTTGGTGCATTGAAGTTATATTTGTGTTTTGGGATAAGAATGTATGTTATATTTTGGGTTGAAACTTAAATTGACAGTGATAAATATAGAAAATTTTAATGGTGGCATTAATTACTCACAGATTTGAGTCACATTGAGGCTTGGTCTTCATATATATCGATTAAATGTTAAATATGTCTTATTTTTGTATTCATTCTAAATGTCAAATATGTCTTATTTGTGTATTCATTCTAAATACTTGTTAAGTTTGGAAGCCATTTGTCAAAAGTTGACCAATGACATTTTGTTGGGGTAACAATTGGATTTACGATGGAAGATGGAGAAAGTGCAAGACTGTAATCTGAGGGAAAAAAAATTATCATGACATTTGATTTTTTTTTTTCCCTGTACAGGTTTTTCAATAACCATGTATTTTTTTTTTTAAATCACTGCATGCAAATATCTTCCTCTCAGATAAATACACTGTGTGCAAAGCACTGCTGTACAATCTCATTGTGTATCTTATTTGCATTCGTAGCAGCCTGATCCAGTTTAAGGAGATGGTCTTCCTCATCCATCTTCATCTGCTGCGCCGCAAACGCCTCCTCACTTAGGCGGGAGCTCATTACTCACAATGGCAGCCATTTGAATCTTTCCTCCGAAGGAATTTTAATTGAGCATTGGTAAATGTGTTTGGAACAATTATGTCTCTGAAAGCAGAGTGCTTTGTGTTTGCGGACATATTTGTGAGAACAAGATTCATTGTGCACATTGGTAGGATGATGACGATGATGCCGTCTGGTTGTGGAAACTGTTCACTTTAGAAGCCAGCCCACATGGGAGATGACAAGCTGTCGGTCTGTGGAGGCACTGTGTAATTCTCCGTCATTTAGTTTCAATATAACGGCGCCTTGTAGTGTACACCGGGGTACTTTTTGATTAGATTGTGTTATTTAGCTTTTTATAATCCTTCTGAGTTGTAGGAACATCTGTCAGCGTTACAAGCATATTTTGCATTTGCGTTTGATTCAACAAAGATTTAATTCAGGTTGATAATGATGATTCCTAGCCTTAATCCTTCAAGGTCCAATAAAACGAGTGTTTGCCCAATAACTCTATTGCCTTACATTGTACTCTGTCCTATAAATGAAAAATAAAAAAGAAATCCCTCTGTGTACGTTTGGGAGGCGCATATGTCTATGCGGTTATGACTGATGTTGTCTTAAAGAACGAACTATCCATTCTGTTGGTTGCCTGAAGGCAAATTCCTCAGGATTATGTATTAAAGGGTTAAACCTCATGCATCCTCCTCGCCTTGTTCTCTGACCCCAGTGCTGCCTGTTTTATTCAATGTACCCGGCACTCAGAGGGCAAAAGGAGGAACAAACAGATGCAGTGCCTTCGAGTGAAATGTATTTGAATTTTTGTGCGTGTACACATTCGTGTGGGTGTGTGTCTGTGGCCCCCTTGGAGCAGGAATGAACACTCAGTCATGTTTGATGAAAACATCACATTTTTTGCAGCCCACTCTAGAGAGAAGCATATGGTGCTGACACTGAAGTCATCATCTATATGAAAGTGAAGCAGATTTATGTTGCAGAAAGAAGTGAACGACATTTCACTTTAGTTCATGCTAACACTTGATGAAATGAATCCGACAGGGAATTTTAGGTGCAGTCTAGCTTTGTGGCTTCATGTTTGGTGATGTGACAAGGGTTGCCCTATCCATCAGGCATACATCCGATACATGTGGTGGAAAGCCTTCGAATAAATCACCCAACATAAAAATGAAGCAAATGTGCAATGTTTTCATTTTGCATTGTATTATTAGGTCATATTGTATTTCACTTCTTATTCTCTCTGGAAACTTGTTATTGACCCTCCAAAACCCTCTGATGCTTTCTTCTTTCTACTCTAGGAGACAGAGATCAGCGCCAAGAGAAAGGAGTGTGAAGCGCTTGAGGCAGAGGTGAAGAAAAAAAATCAAACATGTCAGACTTTGGTAAGTGAAGAAAGCACCTGAGCTTTAGAATAAAAGGATGCAGGCAAAAATGATTCAGGGCTTTTAAATATTCCTTCTGATAAAATGAGTTTCATTCTCTTGTAACGACAGCTTGAATCTCAGGTGGTGACAACAGAATGTGATGAATGGTAACAGTTAACACATAGTATGTGATGCTATGATCCAGGCAAGCTGTATGCAAGCTGTCCTCTGTGGTTTGTGTTTAGTAAATGGATCTCCATGCTTATTTATAGCATAATGCTACATGGGCTTCGATGTCATAGATACATATTTGACCTTGTATAATTCCGTTTTGAAGGACATGGTGTAAGAAAAAAATGCCCTTCGGACTCAGAGGTGGCTGCTGGAATTTTCTACATACACTCTGTGTGTGTGTGTGTGTGTGTGTGTGTCTGTGTGTGTATATATATATATATATATATACACAGGCGTCTTCGGGCAGTAGGCAGGGTACACCACCCTGAACTGATTGCAATTCAGTCACAGGGCACACATAGAGACAAACAACCATTCACACCCACAGCCAAACCATCACTGATTGTGAGGTGATCGAAAGCCATTGTTTGAAACACATACTATAGTGGCGCCAACGTTTCATATTGATATGCATTTTGGGTGTTAAAATGTGTTGTCTCAAGTGGTAAACAATATATAATCAAATAATGTAATTGTTGGACCGGTTTTACTTCGATTAATAAAAACTAATCAATAGTACAGTAGCTCCGGTAATCTAATCTGTGTACGTCGGTGTTGTCAAGTGGGCGTGATGGTAGCGGACCCAAAAAAGCAGGGATGCAGGAGAACCAGGGAGCACTGAAGAAAATGTATTACTATAAAACAAAACAAAAACAAACAAAAAAACACTTGCATGGGTACAGTGGAAAAACTAAATCCAAAACACAAAATGCCTTAACAGTAAAATAAAACAACGTGACAGTAAAAGAAACAAAAAACCAAGACAGTAAAACAAAACAATGTGACAGCAACAATGTTTTCACAAAGATTGACAGAACCCAGCGAACGAAATACAAGCAAAGTGATGAGACAACTTGAAACACCTGGACAAGACACAAAAGGTTGACGGAGCTGATTGGTTACACACAAGGGACCCGGATGACGAGAACAGGTGGAAAAAAAACCAAATGAGGAACACAAAAGCACATGAGGAAATAAAACTATGAAACAAAAGCAAATGTAATCTAAACAAAAACAGAATCATGACAGGTGGACCTTTTTGTTGAAGGTCTGTAAATGTATATCACATAATTACTTGAGAACAATATTGTCAACATTCTGTTTTGATTGTATTTTATATACCCTGCTTAGTTGGGCGGCTTTTATTGAGAGGAATGTGTTCCACCACGACATAATAAACATCCAATGTGATCTTGGGGGTTTCACCTCTGCAGTTATGTCAATCCCATAAGGCAGATCGAGATTGCAGGCTTTTCTGTTATTACTATTTTATATTACACGATGGATAAAGTATGTATTTGGCTCCGACGCTTTATGTTCGAATTTAAGAGAGAAAGCGACTAACTGCTGCTTTAATGCTCCAATGGTGGATCTTAAAGTTTGGTCCCAACAGCCTCGTGGTAGCCTGGTTGAATTCACTGCCGTTGTTTACGTTTACAATAGAATTCCATATTCAGTGCCCACGCATCAAAGTTAATTTTGTTTAACCTGAGGAAGCAGGAGTAGCAAAGAGTGGATAACCTAAACCTGGAGTCAGAGGGTTCCAAGAAAGAAAGGCGCTGCGGGGTATTTAGCAGTCATTTCAATCACACTTCAGGAATTCTTCCCCTCGTATTCTCAAGCCCTCTTCTTTGGATGATCTCTTTTTGTATTTGGTTCTCTACCACAAATAAATACTCCATTAGCTGCATTTTCCTTACAGCAGTCCTCTCACATTCTCAGCCCACAGCTGCACTTCCCCTCCTGCCCATTGTCAGCCCACCGAGGCCAGGCGAAGCGGCCCTCAAAGGACAAACTGTCCCCAAATGGCATGCAGAAATGGCAGGTTGTTCTCCGGAACAGCACTTATCTCCTCCCACACGGAGCCTTGAGGACCGCCGCACAAAAACACACACCAGAGCAGTGAACACGAACGAGAGTGCTTCAACTTGACAGAAAAGTCACCTCCTATTTAGTACAAACTTGGTTTGCACTGTCTTTCTCTACTTTTGTCACCCTTTCAAAAGACTTTGAGTGTTGCAGACATACAATACAGAATCAAGTGCAGCAATGTGCTTCGAAAACAATGGGAATTCTGCAAATAGAGCCGCTGTTCACGTAAACGTCAAAAGCCCATATGAAGCCACGCAGTACTGGTTATAAGGCACTGATCAGTATTGTCATGTTCGGTAATAATGAGTCTTTTTCTAGACATGTAACTAGACCTTTAAGACGTCAGAAGAACCACCATTTAATTTCGCCCCCCGGTGAAAATTTTCCATTTTGAAAGTTAAGGCCAAATACACTTGGTGTATAACAGTATCACACTAAATAACACAGTTACATGAATGACTTTTTTCCGCAATGCAGTCGTGTTAGGTGGCACGGTGGAAATTGGTTGGCACGTCCACCTCACAGCGCAGAGGTCGAGGGTTTGAATCCGGGCTACAGACTTCCTATGTGGAGTTTGCACACGTTGACAAATGACCGTGTCCCTGTTATATTTGACAGTGCATTTACAAAGGCTATACACAGCAACTGTCTCATTAAGACGATCTCTTTTCTTGCAAAATCCAAAGTGTATCCAGAAAAACTAAAAATTATTTTTCCCCATCTTAAAAATCTCCTCTTCCTTGCCGCAATGATCCATGCTGCGTGCGTGACATAAATCTCAGGTGCCGACCGGAGATGACGTGCACGAGCGAAAAGAAAATAAAAGTTGATAAAAAAATAATATTCAAACTTGAGTTAAAAAAAAAAATCACAAGAGGCTAATAAAATGATTTCACTTAATTATATCGATTCAGTCGGTCGACATGATGACGTTGTGTCGATATTTGGCCAGTATCAAAAACTAGTCCAGCGCTGATCGATGTAGCTGGATCACTGGGCGGATACATCGATTAAATAGATGTAATTTTACACCCCAACTCCAAAAGCTTTTTTAATCATAGAAGTGGTAACACCTAATTCCCCATCAGTCACATACCCCGACTTTTGGAGGAAATCTGTGACATGCGGCTATATAATGTGTGCATAGCGCCATACTCTGCTGTAATACGATATGCAGATATCACAAATATGAAGTATTCAATGAATTTAGCAAATTCTGACATCATGCGTGTGTAGACCAGTTGAGCGACTGTGTGCTCACATCGTCTGTGTGAATGACAGTAAACTCGAGCTTTGCCATCTGGTACCTCCACCCTCTCTGGAATTAAGTGTACCACTCTAGTCCATCAGCTGAGCGTGTCATACCAAGGCAACTTTGCAAGCGACACTTGAATATGTACTGTGCTAATCAAAGATCAATAGAGGCAGACGGCAGAAAGTCAACAAGTCGAGGGATTGCAGCGCATCTCTGTGCCGTCACGTTGCGCTTGCTGTCGGGTGTTGGAGGCCTTCTGTCTTGTTCCTCGTTTCCTCAACGGCGAGCTGTTTGCAAACTCAACGCCTTCTGTTAAAAGTGTGATTGGCAGCGCTTTTATATAAGCCTCATGGTATGCATTTTTTTCCCCTCACAAGTATACTTAAATTGCCTCAGTCTGAAGATTCACACTTCTCTCTGAGGATTTTATGGCCATGCTGATTTGAAGATGTGCTGTAATTTTGCACCAGTTTGGTTTTACAGTTTATGATCGATCACATTTCACAACGAGTGCCTGACAGGCAAACACCCTTGGTCATTTGGGCAAAGACGATGGATAAATAAGGATATATTTTTTAAGTGTGTAGGATGTGTGTACAGAGCATCAGCAGATGGGGCTGCTACATCTAGTGAAGGAGAGACGAGCGAGTGGAGTCTTTGCTTTATTGGTATGTTCAGTGGCACCACTGAGTCATCCGTCAGTCGGGTTGACATTAAGCACACATCTGTGGACCACCAAGCTGAGTCAGGCCATGTCTAGACATAACCCACACTTCAATAAACAATAAGGACCAACTCCAGCAATACACTAATTACATTTATTATTCATGTAATTATACAGACTACATTAGATTGCACAAATATTTTCACCTTACACGAGTAATCCCAGGATACTCGTGGACGTTCATTACGATAGCCATTTTGCAACATAACCTGGGCATTGCTCTCTCAGGATTACAATGTGTAACTGTGTCAACACTTTAGAGGGTAAACAAACAGGAAGACGACTTTTCTTAGATTTCACACGATATGGTCTTTGTCATCGCTGTTTTCGTTAAAATTATTGCCCCTGATTAAGATTTGGGTGCCTAGCTAAGTTGCCTTTAAATTGAGGGATCCATGGCTCTGAAGAGATTTTGAAGCTTTGAGAGACGGAATTCATGCAGGCTAAATTCAAATTCTGGTTTCCTTAGTTGATGGAAAAGCAGATGTCGGTGTATATGTACCACTGTCCACAGGCTTTGGTTTAGTCATGATTTCTTAGCGCTCATACTAGATGCAAGTATGATCATTCACATACATTAACATTATTTGTGCTCCAACCAACCATATTCTTTCTCAACAATTTTATCAGATTTTCACTCACCTCACAGTCATATATTCAATGCTGCACAGACTTAATTGCCCTTGCCGCATGAGGGGAAATCTGAGTTTATGCAGTTGTCCCGGATCACAGCAAAAGTTTTTGGTGAGCATAACCCAGGTCACTATTTAACATGTGCTTTATACTTCCCTTTCAAAGTATTTTGTAAAAATGACCACAAGCAGTATTGCAAACTAAAGTTTGAGATGATGAAAAAAATAAATAAAAGTTCACACGTATTGAACCACAGGAGGGTTTGTTTAATAAACCAGATGTTGCATACTGTATGTGTGACGAACACTCAAAGATCATCGTCCACCTTTAAATGCAACCTGTCTGGTACCGCCTGGCAGAGTAGAAAGTCCTCCAAATTTCACCTTGCCAGGGGCTGTGTACAACGCAATCAATTGAGCCAGTGGGCCTCAATGTCAGCTGGGCATTCTTTATTTCTTCTCCCCGCAGTGTTGTATGAAAGCGACACGACTTTCACTTTTGGATAAAAATAGGTTCCAAGAGTGGAGCTTTGACGTTGCCTTTGGAGTTTCAACACTGAAAGACACATTTCTTAAATCAGGATGTGTGCATGCACAAGATGTCGCATCCATCCGACTATTGCTGCGAGTGCCGCTCAATATCACGAGCTGGAGAACGATTCTGCTGCAAAGTGTGCTTTTACGGTGACCAGCAAAGACACATTCATATTCTCAACCCAATCATACAGCACGTAAAATATTAAAACTATACTTAGAGTGAACAAGTCTGTGAGTGTGGATGTAGAAACCTGGGGAGTTTTGATCATATTTTCAACTGAATGTTTAAAAAACAAAAACTTGTTCAAATCTGGAATAATCCGGGTGGGAGTGGATCCCAAAAATGTAGACAAGGATAAAATTCTTCTGACAAAATGTTTGTTGACAAAAAGCGCAAGACCGACAAAGTACAAATGAGATCACTGGCACAAGGAACCAGGATAAAACGAGAAAGACCAAAAGCACTTGCAAAAGATAAGGAACAATATAAACCTAAATTGCTTGTCGCTCAAAAGACAAGAAAATCCAACACACGAGAAGTACCAACTGAGAAATAACAAGAACTCCTTACATGAAAAAGTACTAAGACGAAAACGTGGCATGAAACTATGAGGCAGAAAGTCATGAACAGCTAAAATAATCAGGCAGTTGAAGATGAGAGTCGTGAGCAACTAATAATGCGACAGCCAGGTGTTGGCGTGGCAGAGTTTAAATAGGCAGTTGGTTCACGAGGAAGATTGCTGACAGGTGCGCCGCTGGAGGGCACGCCCTCCTGTCCAGCAGGACCTGAAACCTAAACAAACAGAACCGTGACAAAAGTCAGACAAAGATCAAATTTTACTGCAATTTCTTGTTTAATGTCGAGACCCGGTACACCACTTCACTGGATACTACCGTATTGGCCCAAGTATAAGATGGTGTTTTTTGCATTGAAATATGACTGAAAAAGTGGGGGTCGTCTTATATTCGGGGTCTAGGCATTATACCCATTCACGACGCTAGATGGCGCCAGATATCATTGAAGTGAATGCTGAACTTGACTCCCCAGGCCAAAGTGAACCCCTGCCACGAAGAATAAAAATAAAAATAGCGGTAGCACAAAGAAGAAAAATAAAAAATAGCAGTAAGAAGGAAAAGACAAGAAAATAATATCAGAGATAACAGAAAATGGACAAACGTAGTGACAATCTGGAGAAAAGTGGGTCGAGGATCGGCCAGGTTAACCGGCAGCTGAGGAGAAGTTATGATGTAATTTACATTTCAAAAACCAGAAGCCATTCATTTACGAATGTGATTGCACTTTAGATTTGAATGAGGCAAAATAACATGCTTTTTCTCTCAAATATATTGTTATAATCATTTATTTCAGATATACTGGTAATTATTTTCTGTATAAAAATGAATTTGGTATTCAAAAAGTCTTTTTTCAAACTTGAGTCTTTAAAAAGAGGGGGTCGTCTTATAATCAGGGCCGTCTTATATTCGGGCCAAGACGTTACTTCACCTTTGTTGGGGTTTTTTTTGGCTTATGTTTTAATTCTGTTTATTTGTATTGTAGAGGACGGATAAATGGTGCACAATTGCTAAAATTAAACAACTTACCCACTAGTGTGTGTGTGTGTGTGTGTGTGTGTGTGTGTGTGTGTGTGTGTGTGTGTGTGTGTTTATGAAAAAGTCCTCCTCCATGGGCAAGGAAGTGCCCACGGCCACAGTCTTGGCTAATCCTTGTCCCTGAAAGGTATTCTGTCAGAGAATATTAAACATTCTCTGACATAATAATGTAATTAAGAGTAGAAGAAAATACCGAGCCCCCGAATAGGATGAGCAATACTGCCTCCATCACCAGTATATAGCACTAATAACTGAGTTCACTGCACTATATTTGGCAGTCTAAACCCAATTTTTCCTCTGCCTTTTTATGCTTAGGAGAATGAGCTTCAAGACTTTTTCCAGGAGAACACACACTTAAGCCTCCGGTTTTTCAACGGCAGTCATAAACCATCTGAATATGAGAGGGTAAGAGGCGACAACCAAGATACACACTTGCTGTCATATCTGATTTTAAATGAGCCACTGTTGAACTTGCATGCTTAAAAGTGAGCGTCTGCCAGTTTGGATCATTCCTTCCACAGCCTCCCAAAGAGCAGTCAAGTGTTATCTTTGTATATAAAACATTTCTTACGAGTGAATTTTAATAAAGAAGAGTCCGAGTTAAATAACAGTATGTAATGTGTTATGCCGCTTGAGAGGATTGTGAAAGCTTTTCACTTTATTTTAAGAATGAATATAAAGCTACCTTCGTAAATGTCAATGTATATAAGGGGGTTCTGAACATAGTAAAAGTTTTCTTGAGCTAACTGGCAGTATGGAAAAATAGTGCCCCACTCTCTGATGTAGGACACTCACAGATCCTCTGACTATCCAAAAAGCATTCATCTTTCTTTCGTCCCCACGACCTTAAACGTCTTCTACAGTGAGTACACAAAACTCAGCTACTAAATCAACAAAAAAGCTCAGTCTCGATGGACGGTAAGGCAATTAAATGAAGGAGTTTATTGGCAGATAGTTGCTGTTGGGGCTGCAGAGGAGTGGGATGCTGGTTATTGATGTCCTCTTGGGACTGTGGGGTAGCTCTTGAGGTTGCTGCCCCTGAATTGTTCTCATCGGGGTTGATTATGAGAAAAGCATTTGGCAGGCCTTGATTCTACACGCGTTGTGTGATTTTCATTAACTTCTGAATAAAGCAAGAAACCATTTAGAATTGAAAAAAAAACAACTAATGTGCCGAATGGCACTGTGTGTGTGTGTGTGTGTGTGTGTGTGTGTGTGTGTGTGTGTGTGCGCGTGTGCAAATTCCAAATACGTTGAATACACCATGTTACTTGTGCAGCAACTTTATTTTAAGAATGAATATAAAGCTACCTTCGTAAATGTCAATGTATATAAGGGGGTTCTGAACATAGTAAAAGTTTTCTTGAGCTAACTGGCAGTATGGAAAAATAGTGCCCCACTCTCTGATGTAGGACACTCACAGATCCTCTGACTATCCAAAAAGCATTCATCTTTCTTTCGTCCCCACGACCTTAAACGTCTTCTACAGTGAGTACACAAAACTCAGCTACTAAATCAACAAAAAAGCTCAGTCTCGATGGACGGTAAGGCAATTAAATGAAGGAGTTTATTGGCAGATAGTTGCTGTTGGGGCTGCAGAGGAGTGGGATGCTGGTTATTGATGTCCTCTTGGGACTGTGGGGTAGCTCTTGAGGTTGCTGCCCCTGAATTGTTCTCATCGGGGTTGATTATGAGAAAAGCATTTGGCAGGCCTTGATTCTACACGCGTTGTGTGATTTTCATTAACTTCTGAATAAAGCAAGAAACCATTTAGAATTGAAAAAAAAACAACTAATGTGCCGAATGGCACTGTGTGTGTGTGTGTGTGTGTGTGTGTGTGTGTGTGTGTGTGTGTGTGTGTGTGTGTGTGTGCGCGTGTGCAAATTCCAAATACGTTGAATACACCATGTTACTTGTGCAGCAAGCGTTTGATGGTATGTTATTCTGCCATCCATGAGAGTGCATGACACTGTTTAACGAAACCCCAGTTGGAGTTGACGGGAAAACAAAACACACAATGGAAAGAGCTACACACATTGTAGTTTTAAATCCAAGACATGATTAAAAAAACATTGCCAGTGTTTATGCTCAAGTCAATGTGAAGTGCTACTGATATGTTTATCATGAATTAGCATCGACTTCCGGGAGTGAGATTTCTTCAAATACAAACAAATATTCGTACACAAGCGCTGTAGAAACACAAATGATAGGTAATAGAACAATACCCAAAGGCCCAAATTCTTTCCAACCGGCAAAAAACAAGTTATATTAAGAGAACTCCATGCAATATTTTTCTCTTATCTTATTCTAATGGTGTATTCCATGCATGCATGGCACCACACTGCCCCTAGGAGGCCAATGCGCATACAGCAGGAACCGCTGCTATTTATTTTTATGAATTGCTTTTTATTACAAGTAATTTAGGATACTATTATTTTGCATTGTTACCAACTTATTTTTTGCTTGTACTTTCAAGTTCTATTGAAGGTTGTGTTTTCAAGGATTTTTTATTGTCTTGCCAACACACACTTTCACATGATGCGGCATGAAATATGACACCTGAGGTCCCAGATTTTCCCAGTCCATCCTAAAACTTGTAAAAATACAAAATAAAACAACAAAATAATAAATACGATAAAGAGACAAGGGAGATGCTTATTCTGGCGCGGTTCGAAAACGAACCGAATGATGTTTTGGGATCCCAGAGTGGTAGACACCAGACAAAACTCCTTAACAAAAATATTTCACACAAAACGCACCGACAAAGCAGAAACAGAAATTGCTGGTCAAAAATGACCAGGGAAAGAAAACCAATACTTTAACCAAAAGCGCTTGCAAAAGGCAAGGAAGAAATAAACCCGACACTCCCAAATGAAATCCCAAGAATCCAATTCACCCGACGCAAGAACCCAGAGAACCAGGACAAATACGACGGGAGGTCGAGAAAAATGATCACTTGAGCAACAGCAGTAGCAAGGTCAACAACAATCTGACCAACTGCTGAAAGTTTGTCGTCCTTAAATACATGGCTCCATCATGACAAAATTGACAGCAGGTGTGCACAATGCAGGATGGACTCCAGTCTGCCACCTGCTGGAGAAACAAGAACAGGAACATGACATATGCATGGTTCGAGTGTGCACTAAGACGCAAAGCAGCAAAGGTGTTGCTGCAGCAGAATGAAAATTCACATGAATTGCACATGATACTTGCAAGGTCATTTGCACTTGACACAAGAAACGAGTGTTCAACGCTAAAATATTCGACGTGCAGGGATGAACGGGCATGAGACTATGATGGTAGTTTTGAGTCGGTGAATATTGGTAGTTGAATAATTTTGAAGTCTATGAATAATCATTTTTATTTATCGGGATTTCAATATAAATCTGAATAATTGTGCTGGTTATTTTTTTCCCGTAATAGCCTAAACCTACCCACGACATACAGTATTATGATTTTCTTAGGTTGGTTTTGCCACACATTGGTCAGACAGCCATCGTGAGGAGACACGCTGGCTTTTGGAAGTGATTTAGTTTTCCACAAGGGCTGATTAGGAATTCGTGGCTGCTCTGAGAATGGCTGAACACACCATTCACCTCAGTGGGGGTCTCAAGGGCAGAAAGAATATTAAGGAGAAGCAAAGATTTGAACGTGCGCAAACAACTACCGGTGCCCATTTATTTTGTAGTCTGCTTACTGAGACTGAGAGGCAGTGTACGTCTTGGACTACTCAATGTTGGATTCACAATGGTGCAAACATCCTAAGCAATTTGTGTAAGGCCATTGACAGAAAGTTGTGAATTTAAGCATCTGGGTTGAAACATTTCATTTTGAAATATGTTGGATGCCATTTTTGATCAAATGTTGACATATTTACGTATTTTTACTTCCAAATTACAATCTAGAAGAAAATATGTATATATGTGCCAGTCCGCTCACTCTGTGTTGGGCAATTAGCGCAGAATAAGCCCAAAGTCAAACTCATCTTGAGGTCAAACGCTGTGATTTTCACCAGGAAATCAAACAAAGCCAACAAAAGCGGTGCAATCAAACCTTTGTTCTGTCCTTGTTTTGTTTGCACAGGTGAAGTCTGAGTATGCCCAACTCAAAGATACGCTCGGTGCTGTGACGCAGGAGAGAGATTTAGCCCTGTGGGAGAGAAACCAGCTCCAAGGCAAACTGGAGAACCTAGAGCAGGTGCTCAAGGTGAGAAAAGCAGCTCCATGGTTACGAGTGTATCTTCTTCAGCTTCCCAATTCAAGAGACCACTAACCTTTGCCGGAACGGACCCCTTTATTGCGCTAAACTACCTCTTTCTGGCTGCCTTAACGCTACACTCGTCTAATGTCCCTGACGTGTCTGTTGCCTCCTAGTGTCGTGCTGGAAGGTCTGACCAGGAGCAGTGAAAGAGTAGAAGCTCTGCGTTTCTCCCTTCTATTCCACTATTTCATGCTTTGCCCATCCCCTCTCCCCACTTGCCTCTCCCCCCGCTAGATTTAAAAGGTATCACAGCTTTCCAGGAAGCAGTGTTGTTCAGCCCATTCTGAATGCTTCTTCATTGATGGGATGCTTACAGACATTGGAATGCTCACCTGGCTAAAAGACCACAACTGTGTGGAATGTGATTGATGCATGAGGCGGAGTGGAAGAGCAAGTCTGGGTCACCGCCCCCTATGATGATATTGTCACCGACACCCACATTATCCTTGGGCTTCTTCGACTGGCACGCATGTGTCATTGGCTCCTTTCACTTTATCGTGTCACAAACGTTCACTCGATGGGGTATAAGAATGGATGACAGGTGGAACGAACTCCATTCACTCCTTTGGATTGAAGTTATGGATCACAGACATGGAGGCACACTTTGAAATTTGCTCACCCTTTTCATGTAACTCCGCACTTAAGATACAACTTCCACTGCCAGTCATGAGATTTCTGACAGGCATTGTGTTACCTAAAAGGGGAAGCAAAATTGGCTTGATGTGTATTTTGATTTTTTTTAATTTTTTTGTCTTCATCCAAATGTACCTTGGCGCAAATATTGATCTGATTCCTGTTACTGATCACTTGGTATGGACTTTTGTCACATAGCGATTGCTCTGATAAACAGTGTGAATGCTGACAGATGAGCTTTCCGAGGCAAAAGGTGTCCCCACAGCATGGGCTTACTGAGTCCCAGTGGGTCATTGGGAAAGGAGCAATGATCTCCCGCGAGCTGTGCGAGTCAGCAATGTGAAACTCTGTAGTATCATCAGCAACAGTTTTTATTTGAATGCTGAGAGAAAAGCATTTACACGAATGCCATTGTAATGAAACAGCTGCTTCTTTTTACTTTCCTGCTCGATAGCGGTGTCATCTCTGAGTAGAGGCCAACTCACTCCAAGAACAAAACACGCTTCTTATTCAGCGTGAGTGAGTGAGCTCTTACCTTTGTCAGCCCGTACTGCGTCGGGTTTCACTTACGGTATATCATTTTGGACTTATTCTACATTAAGATAAAGTATACGAATATGGACAGAAAAGAAATGCCGTGACAAGGATGCCATAGCATCGCATCAAAAAGATTGCACTGATGTCCTCCTTATACCGTATTGGCCCGAATATAAGACGTTGATTTTTGCATTGAAATAAGACTGAAAAAGTGGGGGTCGTCTTATATTCAGGGTATATACATTATACCCATTCACGACGCTAGATGGCGCCAGATACCATTGAAGCGAATGCTGAACTTGACTCCCCAGGCCAAAGCGAACCCCTGTCACGAAGAATAAAAATAAAAATAGCGGTAGTACGAAGAAGAAAAATTAAAAATAGCGGTAAGAAAGAAAATAGAAGAAAATAATAGAAGAGATAACAGAAAATGGAGAAACATAGCGACAATCTGGAGAAAAGTGGGTCGAAGATCGGTCAGGTTAACCGGCAGTTCTCTCAAATATATTGTTATAATCATTTGTTTCAGATGTACTGTAATTATTTTCTGTATAAAAGTTAATTTGGTGTTCAAAAAGTCTTTTTTCAAACTTGAGTCTTGAAAAAGAGGGGGTTGTCTTATAATCAGGGCCGTCTTATATTCGGGCCGATATGGTACTTCTTGCAGACTGATGTGCTGTAATGTATTCACCATCATTGTCATCCTGAAAGATTTTTTTTTTTTTTTTGCATTCTGGCCTGGAAAGAGCATTTGTCAGCAGTCACACATCATTCATTAGGGAACTGCAGTTTGGAGTCTATGTTGCGCTCATCCTTCAGGGTGTCATTGAGGTCAGAACACTGTACACTGTTAACCAGCTTGTGCGTGCGTGATGCGGGCGAGCATGTAACACTTGCATTGAGTGGAATTCATCGTGAAGACCGAGGATGCACTTTGCATTGGCTCTTTGTCCCACTAACATTAGCCGTCTTTATGCCCTCCTCACACAATCCCCCTCCCTCCCTGGTCCTCCAAACTCTCAACCCCCTGCGGACAGCATATGCGTGAGGCTGCGGAGCGGAGGCAGCAGCTCGAGGTGGAGCATGAGCAGGCCTTGGCTGTACTCAATGCAAAGCAGCAGGAGATTGACCTGCTTCAGAAGGTAAGAGAAGTCAGGTTGTTCAACAGTAAAAGCTGCAGAGTTCTTGACAGCTGTTCTTGTTTCTGCTCAGCCGGCATTGGTGATGGGCTTCAAAAAAGCTGTTCCGCTATTCGAGGCTGTGCTACATCACAATAAAACTGAAAGAGTCCTTACACTTGGCATCTTTCCAACAAGTTGTCATCCCTGGCGCTACTAGAGCTGTCCACCGTGACCCCATCCATCCCTCAGCTCTCCCTTCCCTACCTAATCATATCTGTAACATTTCAGAAGCACTCTTGTCTGTCACAAGCAAGCAAATGGTGCACTCCAATTGCAAAGTAGTTCTGACACCTTTTTGAGGCCTGCTTATCCAAAAAATGCTGACCAAGACCGTTTTGGTACTTGGCCTTTATTTTTTTTTTTGTGCACTGGAACTGACTTTAATGTCAAAACGAGTGGAGCAAAGGCTGAGATTGTTGATAGTGTGAACGTGATAAGAATTGTCACCAGTTCTTTCTGTGTGCAGCTCGGTGTTGCTGCTCTAGCGTTGCGCTAACTTCACAGTTGGCCACTTGCAGGCAGCGTTTTCTCTCATTAGCAGAAGCTCATTCCTGCCTTATCTGCCTTCAGATGCGCTGCATTCTCTTAAGTGATTTGCCTGCAAAATAGATTCAAGTGTTCAATCAACGTATGCTTTCATATTTTCTCCGAGCAGATGTTCCTTGTTCTTAAAAGATATTTTCTTTTCTGCCACATTTTTTTTAATCATCAGATGACTTGCAAATGCACTGACCATCATCAGCTTGGATACATAAACACAACACCACCGACAACACAATTCCAGTTTGGCCAGCGTGATTTTTGTTGTTAAATGACCTGTTAAAAGGCCACTACATGTTTCCTGTTTTTCTCTTGTTGCCATTACACAAGAAAAAGGAACTCATTACAGCTAAACTGGTTGTGGTGGCTAACATCTGGAGGCTAGAATGTAACCGTTGAACGTTTTTTTTTTTTTTGCTCTCAGATACATGGAAAAAAAATTAAAGCACAGCAGAATCAAACTTCCAAAAAATGTTCACTTCCATGTATCAAGACCAACCTGCCTCAAGCAAAGTGCATGAACAAGTGTGCATTAAGAAGTGCGTGCTGTCAGGCACCTCATTGCTATTTTTAGCCAAATGATCCTTGAATGCAAAGAGGCAATTATGCTCCGAAAACTGGAGAACTCCAACCTCGAAAAATAGAAAGTTTAGTCTGTTGTGATTGAAGTTCAGTTTGTTTTCCCCTCGGTGCCGTGTTTTGTCAGGTGTGAAGACAGTAATTGAATTTGTGTTCAGACTGAGCCAAAAGGTTGGTTCTGCTAACAAATGTTCTGGCTGCAGTTTGGTTGTGGCAACAAAGCAAAATGAGTTTGATCCATTCCATACGGCAAATGAACGAATTACGTTGTGGCACAATGAGCAAGAACAATGTTGATGTTTGCTGGTTGTTAGCGATCGTTGCTGATGGTGTCATGATTCGCTCAATTGACTTGTTTGACCAGCTTGGGTTCAATTTAGCAATACAGTGCACCCAAAATTCGGCTACAGAAATGAAAAACTTTTGTAATTGAAACATCATGACTTAAATAGGAAGCAGTAACAATGCAAGCATGCACCGACGGCCCATTGAGCTGAGCAAAGTTAGTGCATTGACACACATAAATGAGCCTAGATCCAAATTACAACAGAAAATGTGAGCAACATGTGTCCGTGAAGTGACACGAATGGACACAAAACACAGTTCTAAAGCTTCTTCTTTTCGCCACTGACTGTTTTCTGTTCGGTTGTGCGCATTTGCTTTGGGCGCCTGTCTGCAGTTGTGACGTTTGTCTCATTTTGATGACGTATAGGTTGGATGAGCGCGACCTGAGCAGCCAGACTGCAGTCACATCAGATACATATTCCGTTTAAATCCACAGACAAAAGAGGTCTGGGTTGGGTTTAGAAAAATGAATTTGTACTGTTCACAATGATGTATAAAAATAAATTTTAAAAATCCGTTAGGAAACAACATCACGATATATTTGGAAAAACACAGAAAATTATGCAGTCTGGGATCTTTTTTTTTTATCTTTGAGATTTTTAAGGTCCAGTTTATTTTGGGGAGGGGGGGGGGGTTCGGGTTTTGGCATTAGTTTCCTCATTTTCAATTTTTGGTTCTGGCCCAGATTTTTCATTTTGATCCATCCAATTCCCATTCAGACACTGTGAGTGTGAATGGTTGTCTTTCGCTATGTTGTATGTGTCTGTGATGTAGTCTGCCTTTTGAAGCCATCTAGAAAAGGTTTCAGTTCGTCATGACCCTGAAATGATATATCGGATAGTAAATTGAACGGTGGATGTTTATTGGCTCTGTTTCAGTTAGTTATCTATACAGAAAGGCTCCTTCTTGTTTACTTTCATTCATATGTTGACAGTATGAAAAGAAACAGAGTTTTTGTGCTGGAATAAGTGTCATGTTACTATCCTGTACGTTGCAGGTCTGCCTAATGTTGTGATTTGTGAATCTATGCCTAGTCTTGCACGGATTGTTTTGTGCATTTTTGGATTAACCAATTCCAATGAAAACAAACATTATATTGGAAATATTTTGTGAGAATTTGTAATTATTTTAATGACAAGTAGAAGATTAACTCCAATCATGTCGACCTGATCTCGAACCTGTGTTTTCCAGGCTCAGGTTGAGGCGAAAAAGGAACATGAGGGCGCTGTCCATCTTTTAGAGGTGAGCTTTTGAACTGAGCGGCGGGGCTTTGTGTGGTTCTCGTATGTTCAAGCAGAATGGTAAAACCTGCAGGATAGAGCTCTGTTCAACCTCCATATTGGTCAACTGCTCTTACACCCAATGACAAAACAGCCGTCCAAGTTGTGCTCATTGTTTTTCTCAAGTTTAGGTTAATTGTCATGTTGAATTTGTATTATTATATACACAAGTGATTTCACTTCTGTCTCTCTTTCTCTCTTTTTTTTTAACTGTGTGGGTGTTGATACTTAGAACCACTTGGACAGCATGCAGGTATTTCAGAATACTTTTTTTATTGATGTAGTGGATATTTTAACATCTTCTCTTGTGCTATCAGTAGAGGCACTTCAGTTTATTCTTTGTTATAGTGCAAATGGCTCAACATCACAGATAGTCATGGAATAAATGCACAATCCAACCATAGTTTTAGAAGAGTAAAGTCTATGTAAACAGTTATACTGGTTATATTTTGTTGGATTTTGGTTTTGTGAGAAACCTCTCCTCGGACCTTGCTGCCCACCCACCTCGTATTCCTCCTCCCTTCAAAGCACACTCACACACAAGACTCTGAAACATGACTGACCGTATAAACACGGCTTCTCTTTGCATTGATCACAGAGAAATATTCAGCCCATTACTTTAATATTTGATGAAAGGTTTTGACAAATGAAACTTTCATGGCATCCATAAAGTAAAAAGACGCCAGTGACCTCACGTGCCGCAACATTAGGTGCGCCTGCACAGTCTAATGAGGTCCAACAGAAGAGTTGTAAGGGGAAAAAAAAGGAATTTTTGAAGCTAATGTTTTCTTGACACCATCAGATATGTATTAATTCATAATTTATTTGTATATTTGTAGTTTGCAGTGGTGTTGAACTGCACTGCATCATTCTGACAGCTGCATCATAATATTTTGCCGCGCCTAATAAGAACTGACGCCATGCAACCATTACAGCATGTAACCCCCCCCCCAAAAAAAAACCTTTAACTTGATTTATTTGATCATATCCTTATAATGTATTTAATGAATTGCCTAGTAAAAGTAAAAGCCTCTGTTCCCACACAAACTACTGCATATGATCAATGATCGTTGCATGTGCATGTGTTACACCGTGCCAATTCAACACAGGTGTCGAGAGCTGCATGTTGATTTGACATTTTTTATATATATATATATATATATATATATATATATATATATATATATATGCGCTTTCGCAATGTGAAGTAGAATATTGTGCAAGCAAGAAAATGAGGCTTCAACACCTCGGCGCATTTGCCGGTTTGATTGAAAAACAATGAATGGCCTTTTTTCCATTGATGCTTTTTACGTTGAACTGTTGTTAGTTTCTGAATTACTGTGATGCATGCATCAAATTTTGTCTGCTATAATTGTCCATACCCCTTTTGTAGTGTAGACAGTAGCGGTAATACCCATATTGTCCGTACTGCACAATGTAGATCCCTGAATACAGTGGTGTGCTCTCCAGCATGTGATTGTTTAACATCTCGCAACCTGCGGATTTCTTAACATTTTCATGTGTTTCCAATTCTATTGCGCTGTCTGTCTTTTCCCAATATTTGTATTTTTGACTCACACCTGTCCTCTTTACCCTGATCGCCATCAGGCCAAAGTGCGCGAGCTGGAGGAGAAATGTCGGAATCAGAGCGAGCAGTTCAACCTGCTGTCCAAAGAGCTGGAGAAGTTCCGTCTTCAGGCGGGCTTTGACATCCTCAGCACTGAACCTATGACAGTGTGTGAATCTCCTGCTTCTCCCAACAAATCTCTGTCCCAGCTTCTAAATGGATTGGCAGCCCCCATAGGCAAAGGTGAGACTGAGTTCTGATGATTAGTATGATTTTCAAGAAAGAAAATAAATGTTCATCGAGGACAGGTTGACTCGGGGGGCATATTTTCTGGTCTATTGTAAAGTGTTTTTCTTTGTGAAATGTATGCTGCGCAAATACCTGTATATAAATGTGCTCTCGGCACTTGAGCAAAATTTGCATAAAACTTTCAACTTTTACATATTTTTTTAATCTGTCATAAATGTTGACATTTTCCCACTTGACAACCTTGCATTCGCAGTTGGATTCATGGGAATCGTTCAGGTTATGGTGTTATGCTGTAGTGCTTAAATAACTTACATAAATGCTCAGTTGTGGTTGTAAAATCAGTATAAATTCTGATCAAGGCCATTTGAAGATGAGTATGTAGGGATATATAGAAAAACTGTATTCTTTTCAATGATGTCATGTAAATGCCATACGCTAACAGATTGACTGAGATCGACTATAATTTTTAGTGTCGTTTTCAATTTTGGTTGTAATTAGTACATATTTGTTTTTTTCCTTTTACTGTCTTGTCGTCAGTTCTGTTGATTGGCTGTGAGGCGTGATAACATGCTTTCTTTGAGCCACAGGCAGTGAGACTCCGGCAAGCAGATCTTTGATATCGGAGTTCATTCGTCCACTCCAGACCAGTGGGGACAAACCGGAGCTCCTCTCTGTCAAGCCAACATTCCTTACTCGCAGTCGAGGCAGCAGTTCAGCCAGGACACTTCTTTCTGAGGTCTTGGATAATGTTCAGTTGAATATTGTACAGCTATATGTAGACGGTGAATGAAGGAGAGAAAATGATATTCTTTCAACTCGTGTTCCTTCCTTATATGCATTAAACATTGAGTGCAATTCAAGTACAGCAGAGGCATGCACAAATACCATCCTGGGGGATGTAGGGTCCGCCTTTCTTAGGGGATCACAGCAATGTTCATGAGGCAAAGTGGCATCTCCACAACAGTTCTAGTTTCCATTTCCAAGTGCTTCGCCTTTACAATCCAGCTGTCAGTTATTTCTTTTATTACTTTATTAGGCACTGACTAACCTGTTTAATAATATTGAGAATGTTTTTCAAAGAGCTGCATTTTTCTTCTCCAGATGGACAAAGAGCTTGGTTTGACCACCAGGTCTAAGCCACGGTTTACAGGGAAGGTCCGCCTGTGTATAGCTCGCTACAGGTAGGTTAAAAAAAAAAAAAAAAAGATATGTGGGGCCGTGGTAACAGTCAAAAGGCCAATTGCACAAGCAAAAATAAATAATTAAATCCATAAAAAGTTTGCTTAATCAAAGAAAATGTTATAACTGGCACATCATCATTAGTGCCTGCCTGCCTCGGCGGTAATGTACAAGATCTCATTGACATCATCAAAAGATTTGTTCTTTTTCATTTATAGGACTTTTTTTTGGATAAAATCTAAACATTAGTTTTGTGTTTTGTTAAGTGCACACCACCAACACATGAATGAGACGAATCAACGACAGATGAGGCACAAGTTCCCGTCCAAACACTTAATGCTCCACTTACATTATGTTGCCAATGGCCACGGCAGCCCAGTTTGACTGACCGAAACACAGTGAGCCATGGTATTTTGGTCATTCCTTTTTCCATATTCAAGTCTTGATATCAAAGGCACAGTACATTTCGTTCCCTGATTTTACCATGGGACGTCTTTACATTCCCGACCGGTCCATCATGTTCTGATGGGGTGACTCACCCTTGCCACGTTCTCATTCTGTTTTTCACGGGACAAGGTCTCGACAGATGAAACGTGTCAGCTATGGAGTATTTTACCATTGCAGACTCAAATGAAGCTCCCCTGCCGGGTTCGGATTTATGTGTCACAGCGTAGTTGAATGAAGCATGCCATATCAAGCCGTATCAAACCGTCACGTGCCGGTTCACGTCACACTTTGCGCCTTTCCTGTTTTTTGCCCAATGGCCTGAAACAGGGTTAGCGCGGTTGCCGGGAAATCATTCTAAATGTAGCATTACTATTGACTCGACCTGGAAAGTCATGCCCCGTCATAGAGTAGATGAGTTCCCCTTTTTCACCAAGGGTCTTTTCTAATTGTGTGTACTTATCTTGAAATCAATTGTTTTAGTATAAAATAATATGATTGTTCTGGTCAATCCATAAATGTGAAACAGGCTAAGATTTTGCTATTTTGTGCTTTTGTGCTAGTTACAATCCTTATGATGGGCCAAATGAGCATCCGGAAGCAGAGCTTCCTCTGGTGGCAGGAAAGTACCTCTATGTTTACGGAACAATGGATGAGGATGGCTTTTATGAAGGTCTGGTGCCACATATAGTTTAGTCTCCACTTTCTCAATCGTACCCCCATTGCCAACCATCTCGTTCCCATTTTGTATTTTAGGAGAGCTCCTGGATGGCCAACGGGGGCTCGTCCCCTCCAATTTTGTGGATTTTTTAAAGGAGGAGACAACCTCCATTCAACACAGGGACTCAGTAGCTAAAGAACCTGGCAACCTCAACCACAGCAGCCTGGGACCTCAGAGACTGGGAGTCAGCAGGGGGATGGAGACAGGTTTAGGCAGCCTGCTGTCTGACAGTAAAGAAGGCTGCCAAAACAGCGGCAGCAGCCTGGGCATGGACCTCCTGGGCTCCTCCAGCAATGGGACGGGAACCTTAGATGTCAATATTGACGAGGTTGGTGAAAACATTGTGCCTTATCCTCGCCGCATCAACCTGATTAAACAACTGGCCAAGAGTATCATCATTGGCTGGGACCCCCCTGTTGTTCCTCCTGGCTGGGGCTCCATCAGTGGCTACAATGTCTTGGTGGACAAGGAGATACGAATGAGTGTCCCCTACGGGGGCAGGACTAAGTCCCTGATTGAGAAACTCAATCTCGCAACCAACACCTACAGGATCTCCGTGCAGAGCGTGACTGAGCGCGGTTTGTCAGACGAGCTCCGGTGCACAGTGCTGGTGGGAAAAGACGTGGTGGTGGCCCCTTATTACCTGCGGGTGGACAACATCACGCAGGGCTCCGCTGAGCTCTCTTGGATGCCCAGCAACAGCAACTACAGTCACACCCTCTTCCTCAATGGCGCAGAGTACGACATGGTCAAGGCCGGCGGGTATAAATACCAATTCTTCAATCTGAAGCCCATGACGGGTTACAAAGTGAAGGTTGTGGCACAGACGCACCAGGTGCCTTGGCAGCTTCCGACTGAGCAGAGGGACAAGAGGGAAATCTCTGTGGAGTTCTGCACCCAAGCTGCAGGTGAGTCTGCAAATTAACTCGATATCAACCATCCATACTGTACGTTCAAGATACACAATTAATTGTTCAGTAATCACTAACACAGCTTTGTTTTGTAAAATCACTTTAAACAAGTTTGGAATGTTAGTTTGAACCATATTCCTTCTTGGCCTGTGTTTTCAGTGTCTGGTCTTGTAATCTTCCCGTGCATGTTGCCTGGGAAGCAAAGCAAAATAGAAAAAAAAAAAATCATAAGACTGAAACTGTGGTCTTTTCAACCTTTTATAATAATGTATAGGATATTCTTGTTTGTATATTTGTATTAAGAATTGACTTGCTATGTTTCTGACCACAAAACAATGAGCAGGTACTGTTTAGCTTTGTGACTTTGGTGACGAGATCAAGCTGGAATTAGTTGTACAGTGTGTCCACAAAGTTTGGGTACATACATATATATATATAT